CAAATGTACCATATAGTAAAAATCTATTTAAAAATGTACAATCAGGGACCAGCAGTTAGTGTAATGGCTATGTCCCTGGATTCCCATGTAGTTGACCATGGTTCGAGTCCCAGACCCGGTAGCTTAAACTCATGCCGGGCACATGTGTGTGTGTGTGCCCAAGATCCCGAGAGGAGAAAGGAAAAAGGATTGTGGTGTGGCCATCCCCCATGGGAGGTGATTTCTCGCTTTCTGTCTCTGTCTTTCTGGCAAGCACACACGCCCTATAGCAAAAACCTCTCCAAAAAGATTAAATAAAAATGTATAATTAAGTATAAAAAAATTACAAAAACTTTTTAATAATTATTTTATTATTATTTTTTAAAATTTGACCAGAGAGACAGAGAGCGCGAGTGAGAAAGGGAAAGTGAGAAAGGAAGCCACCAGGTCTGGGGCACAAACCACAGTCGGCCATGAGGAAGTCCAGCACCCTAACCACCATGCCACCTGACAGCCCCAAAATTATAAAATTTTAAAAGGGAATGTGTGCTGGATAATGGGGTAAACCTGCTTTCTCAAGTAGGCATATAAGTAAAGGTTTTTAGCAAGGTAAATAGCAAATGTTTACTATTTCATATATTGTGTACTTTGGGTATCATGGAGTCCAAGCTAGCATCCAAAAGCAACCAGGTGCCAAAACTTTGAATGACTTCAATGCAGTAGGTTGATGCTGGAACTCCCACCTCTGCATTCCTCTATGATTCCACTTCCTTTACCAAGTGGTATCTTGACCAAAATGTGCCTGCTTACTATTTTTTATTTTTTCCAATAAAACACTTTTTTAAAAAAATAAATTATTTATTCGTTTATCTTAATTTGACCAGAGAGGGACAGAGAGCAAAAATGAGAGAGAGAAAGCAAGCCTCCAGGCCTGGGACTCGAACCACAGTAGGCCACATGGGAGTCCAGCACCCTTAACCACCACACCACCTGCTAGCTCCTTTTATTATGCTTTTTGTTTACATTTAATCAGTGTATATCATCAGAACATACAAAATTAATTTTCCCAGCATGAATATTGTATATTAGTCCAGTGCTTGCTTACTTTTTAACTTGACAATGTAACACAAACTTATATGCTTATTTTCCAGCCCTCAGTACATAAAAGGGTATTTAAAAAATCAACCATTCAATAGTGCATTCGAAATACTTATTCAGTGGCATGCCAGATGCGTGTGCATGTGTGTCCAAGATCCTGAGAGGAGACTGGAGAAGGGATTGTGGCATGGCCATCCCCTGGGGGGTGATTTCTCACTTTCTGTCTCTCTGTCTCTGTCTTTCTAGCAAGCACACGCGCCCTATAGCAAAAACCTCTCCAAGAAAAAAAAAAAGTATTTATTCGGAATAGAAAAAAAATAAAGAATAAAAATATGGTTTGATTCCTCCCCCACACCCAAATCATGGGAAGGGTTTGAAAGCTTAAATTTTAAAATGTTTATTCAGAATGTCACAAATCATTAATTTGAGTCTTAACTTTTTTCCTCTCAGTTCATGTAATTTATTGCAGTTAGCACACAGTTTAAAAATTCACCAATGTGACAATAGTATAAAACTAAACAGCATTATAAGTTATTCCCTCCCCCTCAGGAAAATAAAACATACTGATTCTCAAAGCTATATGTCAGTCTAAATTTTAGAATGAAGGAAGCATGTGAAACTAAGGAAAAAGCAGTCACTCACAATGACCACAAAAAGAAAGCAAAAGTGTATTCTCACATTGTCTTGTCTAAATAAAAATGATTTTAAACACAAACTGTATTTTTTAAAAAAACTAGACATCTGTGCATACACTGTAGATTAATACCCACTCCCCCACAGGATCTAGAGAAACTCCTCATAACCAAAAACCAGTATTTTTGTAGTAAACCCTGTTCATACTAGATGGGCAATACAAAGGTTATGAAAAACTTAGGTCTTACCAACCCTAAAACCACCACTTCATTTTCCTCTTCATGCACTCTGAATTACGAATAAAGGATTGCAACCCTAAGGGGCAAAGAAGGGACTTTGGCAAGTTTTGTCTTGATGAGCATGCAAGAATGATATAACACTGGCTGACTTATCATCAGTATGCACTTACATACTTTAAGTATTCAAAGTGACTTATTTTACTGTTGTTAAAATGTATGTTTAGAATTTTAGGTTTTTATCCGTCATGTGTGCTAGCTGGAGCAGAGGATAAATTAGAAATCACCCCCCACCCAGCGTGGGGGTGAGGGAAGGATGGCCACACCTCAAGGACCCCCAGGCATGTTTTTCAAGTCATGAAGTGAACTTCGGCGTTGGCCAAGTGGGATCCAATGCCTTAACCACCAAGCTACTGGCCCCTTGAAACCTTTTTGAAAGTAAATCATTTTCAACACCTCTCTCCCCATCCCCACACACACAACCAGAATGTGGGGAAAAAAGTGTTGGATAGTGTCAGAGACTCAGCCTGGTCTAAACATTTTTCTTTTTATTTAAATTTGACCAGAGAGGGGACAGAGAGCAAGACACCAGGTCTGGGACTCAAACCTCAGTCAGTCACATGGAAGTCCAGTGCCCCTAAATAAATTATATAAATTATTCTGGACCTTGAAATGGACCTAGGGGTGGGGCATCTTAAAAAACGTTTTTATGCTGGCAAGTGGCATGGTGGTTGAGGGTACTGGACTCCCATATGGCTGACTGCAGTTTGAGTCCCAAACCTAGTGCCTTGCTTTCTCACTTTCCCTCTCTGGTCAAATTAAAATAAATACAAATAAATAAATAAAATAATTCTTTAATATTTTTACTAAATTTTTTTGGTATGTACAAGATTCAGAGCTTGAAAATTTAAACTATTTGTAAGCCATAAATTTTGTCTTTGTAGACACTGAGGCATGTGTATCTTTCCCAAGAACCCACTGAAACTAGAAACACATAGGGGTTCTTGGGAAAGATACACTAGTGAGAAGCTGGTCAAACAAAGCAGAAGACTCAAGCACTTTAAAAAGGACCCTGTAGGGAACCAGAAGTTAACGTAATGGCTATGTCGCTGGACTCCAACATAGTCGACCGCGGTTTGCGTCCCGGACCCGGTGGCTTAAAACTCACACCAGGGGGAACCAGCAGTTAGCGTAATGGCTATGTCACTGGACTCCCACGTAGTTGACCGCGGTTCGTGTCCCAGACCCGGGGGCTTAAAACTCACGCCGGGCGCGTGTGCGTGCGTGCCCAAGATCCCAAGAGGAGAATGATTGCAGCGTGACCATCCCCCCTGGGGGGTGATTTCTCGCTTTCTGTCTCTATGTCTCTGTCTGTCTGGCGAGCCCACGCGCCCTACAGTGAAAATCTCTCCAAAAAAAAAAAAAAGAAACTCACGCCGGGCACGTGTGCGTGTGTGCCCAAGATCCACTTCCCAAATGCCCAGTACAGAATGCTTTCTCCCACCAAGTATCCACCTGGTGGGGTGAACCACAATGCCCCATCATACTCTTGGCCTGGCTCAGTGGGTGAGGCTGAATCCAATACTGAGACCTAAGATATAGGGATGAGGGCAGACACTCCAAAAAGTTCATGGAAAACATGTACTATGAACAAACTACACATGAATTTCAATGTATTCTCTTTACACCAAAATAAACCCACTTTTAACTCCCATCTTTCCATGAAGTTCTAAGTCTCTTCCTATAAAGTTCCACACCTTATCAATTAAGGAGTAAGGCATCTTAGAATAACATCCTGGGGCTTACAACCTGATGGTATGTGGCTTAGAACCCAGATGAAATCCGTGAGCAGTTAATCCTTCTGCTCCAAACTGAAACCACTGGAGGGACAATTTCCATGGGGTCTCAATACAGTCACTAGAACAACTAGAGAGAGAATTGCTAGTGGTACAAAATCAGACTAAAAGTGACTATCATGAGCCAGCTCTGTGGCCCCAATGATTAAGGGAGGTCCCACATAGGCAAATCTTGTTCATGGTTCAAATTTAACTCTGGTGGCTTGAAAAATATGCCAGGAATGTGTGTACATGCCCCAAACCCCAACCAGACGAATGAAATTGTGCCATGTCCATACCTCATTAAGGGATTCTTTCCCCCTCAGCCATAACCCCTACCTTACACCCAACCCATCAGCACCAAGACTGAATTCATGACTGAGACGTCAAACCATTTAGTGGTTTTGTATAAATTAACTTAATCGTCTAAAGAAAATTTAAGATGTCTCTGAGGCCTAGGAATGCAGACAGATGATGCACCTGTGGTCATATCACTATGAAGTAGCAGAAACTGATTTGAATGCTGTAATCTGAATGCAGCCTAAAATCTTAGGATTCTTTCTTTTCTTCCATTCGCAATAGGTACCAGAGAAATGGGGAGGAAAAGAGCACCTTCCACAGGGTCTGCTCATACTGTGATTCTCCCTCTCCAATTCTCTAGCCCATCTTTAGGCCAACCAAACCAGGAATTCAAACCACGGTCACTATGTAGGATCCAGTTTCTCTGAAGCAACACATTACTGCTGTGGCTCCAGAATGCCATTTTCAAATCAGGTTTCTCTTATGACCCTCACAAAGGTGAATTCAGTACACTTACCAACCCCCATCATTTCAGGAAAGGAACCAGACTCTGTTCAGCTCATGCCATGAAATTATGTGACTATACACAGGATGATCCTATGAGAAGATGCCCACCTAATATTCAGAGATGCTAGGAAGATTCAAGCCCAAGCAATCTCTAACAAAATCATGAAATCATTCCAGAAAACCCAATTACAACCATAAATGATTTAACCTATACCCACTGTATCTTGCATCTCAACATATACTCAAACCAATCTCAAACTCAACCTTTGTAACTTGAAGTCTTAATCTACGCTCTGTCCGTCCTTGTCCACCCTCAACCAAATTTTTTCCAAGTGTCCCTCTGGTCTGTTTTTTTCTAATCTGTATGTAAACTGACAGTTTGGATAAGGAAAAAGCACTACCAATAACGATCTGTTTTCACGTTTCATCTTTTAATCAGCTCCGTGAAGGACATTCTAAACACTACATGAGACACAACAGAATATTCTTTTCTTCCAGTATTAAAAAAAAAGTGACATTCACAAACACTTTTAAGAAACTCTTCTATATAATCAGGGCCATGATTGTGTTTTTTTTTTTTAAAAAAACTTCCAAGTAATAATGTTCTTGGTGCAGATTTCTTAAAAGGTACGTTGAGAAATCGCTTCCTATCATTACATGATAAATATCACGTCTACAGCTTTTTAAAATATCTCTAGATACATATTAATTTTAAAAGTCTGGTCAAACATTTTTTTAGCCAGAATCCATAATCCTGAGAGCCCAAACTAAAGAAAAAAATGATAAAGTAAAAATATCCATTCAACGAATGTCCCAAAACTTGTCAGTAAAAGGGAGAAAAAAAATTTTAAACATATGGAGCTTTCTAAAAGGTTTTCAACAAGCTACCTTGGGAGCTCAATTCAAAAATAGACGTTGATGTACTAAAACAGATGTTTCAGTGCAGCTCCAAAAATCTTTATAAATACAGCCATTTGAAAGGACGATCCTGGATCAGAAGTGTTATTCCTTGTGTATCTGAAAAGAGTAAAAACAGGGAGAATTGTGATGTCAGGAAGAAATAGGCCGACAACATGCTCACCTCCTGGAATTGATAAAAATGCTGAGGATCAGACAATAAAAACACCCCTTTCATTTTACCCCATATCAACAAGAGTAAAAGATTATAGGAAACAGGTTTTCAGATACCCCTCCTCCCAAGCAGACTAGTCCTGACATGCTTAGAAGCCTAGGAATGGTGTTTGGTGGCCTGGCTGGGTGAGGTATGGGAGGCAGCAGAAATACTGTGCAGTCCAGCTGGAAGAAAAGGAGAGCAACACAACAGAGTTTGATGGGCAGAAGTCTGTTCAGTGCCAATATCCAAGTCTCACCTACATTACGTGTGCATGCCTCATCTCAGTTGTCATAATTGTCTCTGTAATTTCCTCCTGAGTAGCGGTCATAACCACCCTGGCTTCTAGGAAAAAACACAACAGTTTTACAAGAATGTACAGAAATCGCCACTGATGACAATACAAAAAGCATACACATCTCATTTCACCATACTATAAATACTGATATATAAAAGGCTAAAAATATTATGGCATACAATTTACATATAGCATGTTAAATCACGTCACATGTTGATGCAATACACTTACACAATCAAGCAACATTATACAACCAACACCTATTATCACATACCATGTTGCAATTTTATGACTGAACAATGAATACATCACATATTAACTCAATCAGTAAGTTTCACTTGCTTTAAGCACACAATAGGAACACCAAGGTATGCAGGGATGAACACCCAGGCAAGCTGAATCCATTAAGGAGAGGGAAGTAACAGCAGAATACCATAACTCCTTGGCTACTCACCTGCCGCTATAGTCTCTGGACCTTCCATACCCATAACCATATCCTCCAGGTCGACTGTCATACCTGCCACTCCCATATCCTTGATCCCCACCACCTACAGATGAGAAATATCTAAATATTAGTTGTCCAGACAAGGGCCACTAACAGGAGGCTCTCCTCCTCACCCTGTGATCAATCTTATCACCAACATACTTACCTCTAGAGTAGCTACGACCACGAGCTCCAAAGGCACCCCCTCTGGTTCCCCGGGCAGACTTGCCTGCATGGTCCACACGGATTTGGCGACCATCCAGAGACTAGGTGTGGGAGGGAGACACAAGGAGGATGAAGTGGCGGTCAATCAGGGAAGTGGCAAGGGAAGAGTGGGCATGGGCACATGGGCAAGAAAGCCCAGAAATTCCTGTGGGGCACCAGTTTCTGGGTGCCGCATTCCAAAACAAGCTCCTTTGACCAGAATGGTTTCATTGGGAGCTATATAATCCCACAAAATGACCTGAATCCACCGTGTTCCCCCTGCTACTACTTACATCTTGACTGAACTCGGGCTGAGTTCTCCTCCCCACTCCTCTAAGCTGCCCGACTATTAGGGCTAGACAGACACCTCTTGGTTTGAGGCTTCAGAGTCCATCCCAGAAGACTCACGAGGTCCTCTCCGGGCCAGGCCCACAGGTCTGCAGACTCTACTACCTAAGCCCAGGGCAGGTCAACCATCCACGGGTGGCTTCTCGGCCTCATGCAGGACCAGTCGTCGCCTCCCAGGCAGCCCGGCTCTGTCTGCCGCTGCCCTCCACCCCCTAGAACAGAAGGCAGTCACGCTCCTGTGAGTGCGCACTGTGGGGCTTGGTGGCCGCGCTGCCCCTAGCAGACACAAGAGGAAAAAACAGAAAGAATGGAGGAAGTGGCAGATGGGACAGAGCCCCTCTGCAGGTAGGAGACCTCACCTCTCCATTCATGGCTCTCATGGCATCAGAGGCATGCTCTGGGTTGGTGAAGGTGATAAAGCCAAAACCCCGGGAACGCTGAGTCTCCCGGTCCTTGACAACGACCACTAAGAAAGGGATAAGAGATGAGAAAATGTTAGTTAGCAGCTGGAAAAAACGGGGAAGGGTTGGATTGAGAAAATGGACCCTTCGCACCAATCCTGAAAAAAAGAATAATGGGGTCTCTTTATCTCTCCTTAGGTTTAGGAACAAGAGGAAGAAACTGAAGGCCTGGGTTCCTGACATTGCTTGAAATGCAAGAGTCCTAGACTTCTTCCCTCCCTCTCATAATGGATCAGGCCCATGTCTCACCCTCAGATATAGGCCCGAAGCTACTGAAGTGGTCCTCCAGTGCCTGCTCATCCGTGTTGAAGTTGAGCCCTCCCACGAAGAGCTTCCCTTCTTCAGAGGACATGACGGTGAATTCGAGTCCTGTAGGGTGAATTTCGGGAAGGGAGGGAAAAACTGTGAAGGTAGGAGAAGAGGTCAAATGTGAGAAAGGAGATTGAAGAGAAAGGGGAGACAAGCACAGAAAATGAGAAAAGTAATTAAGAAGAGACTGAGAACGAAGGCCCAAAAGGCGGGAATTTGCTGGGCTGGGTGAGCACCGTCGCCATTTGGAGGCCACCATCACGCATGCCCAGAACATCCCTACGACCACGCCCGTCATTTTGTGCCGCCGCGCAGGCCCGGAACACCCTTACATTCCGTTTGCGCCCGCAAAACAAGATGGCGGCGGTCACGTGGGAATGGGGGCAGCAGGTCTCGGCTGTCGCGTGGTCACTGCCGCCACCGACGCCACCGGCCCCTCCCGGCATTACTCGCACTAGGATACAGCGAGACAGCAGACAACCC